TTTCATTTCATCGACTTACAAGATTCTTTTTAATAATTGGTACAGGTAAAAAATGTCGCGCTGTATCAAGCATAACACCACGATGTTGAAAACGAGGACTATCAATAATAGTTACAGAATTATTGATAACAACCTAGGAAAGAAATATTTAGATAAAGAACAACAATAAATACATAAAATGAATGATGTATTGAAAGTGAACATACATAATTTTGTTCATTAATATAGATAAGTTGTGAAAATGTTTCGAGACCACGTAATAAACCCCAAACACTACTAGCTTCAACAATCGCCATTTGAAGATTGATGGTTAAAGTATCTAAATATGAATGAGAAATAATCAAATGACATAGTTTCTGCTAATTGATAATACTTTTTTACTTACAAGCTTCATTTGAATCGTGTTGAATATATTGTTCACATTGAGGATTACCGCGTATATTGAGTGTTAAATTTTGTAGAATGTTATTTACACCGGATGGTGGGTCACGCATTGAAAGTTTTGGTGGAAAGAAAATTGGCTCATATCGTTGAATAGCTTTTGTAATAATATCACATGTTTGAATGTTAGAATGAATGATAATAGCATGTGGACGAATATAGAGTAATTCGTTGGAAGCATTGATTTGTTGTGGATGTGGCCATATTGCATTTGGTGGTGAATGTTCTCCCTGAAAATATTATAACGTATCGAACAATTTTTTTTTCAATATAATTATTGAAAAAAAGAAGATGTGTTTGATAGATACTTTAGAACTGCTAAAAAGACGATCGGCTTAGCGTGCTTATTTTGTGAAGAGTATCTTTTTACATTCCTATGATATTATATAGTTATCATACTTTAAAACTGATAGATGTCCTATCACTGTTCACGCTTATAGACATTTCTTCATTCAATTATAAAATAGTTTTTGCGAGAAACTTAAACTAATATAATATACTTTACATTCAATGGTAGCCGAACAGTGATGAATTCAATCTCAGCTGAAATAATTCCAATGAAAATACTTATCAGCCATTGATCTAGGACGACCTGCATTTTTTGAAACTATTATTACGTATCTCTTTTTTCTCTCAAATGACTGATAGATAAAGAGAATCTGCGCAAATACTCTGGTTATCTTACCTTTAATGGATATTTTACTTCAATATATGTAATCTCACATTGTACATAAATGAACAATTCTAATAGAAATACAATAGATTTCATAGTTGATTATCGAAGAAGAGTTTTTTATCGTCTGCTTTTTTTTTCCTTTCAAAAATAGAATTTTATTATGCTCTTGTTACTTTCATTTATCGTTTCAACTTGTATAATGCGACACAAAATAAAAGATTTACTGTTACGGCTTTTTCTTGTTTGACAATCATTTGAATATTTGTTACATTATCAATAAAAATCGAAAATCAGAGAGAAGGTTTCTATTTTATTGATCTCTTCAAAGACAAAACACAAGGACGCATACATTTATGCTTGACAAATTTCTTTTTCTTTCGGAATTGATTAAGATATTTTCAAATAGAAATAAGTACTATGCATATCTTAATGTCAGAAAAAAGAAACGTAATAACAACAATAACAAACAGCAAGAACCTAGTTTTAAAATCAGAGAAGAGTTTTTTTTCATATAGTTTTTCTATTTTTTTGAAGTCTTGTTTTATAATAATGTAGATAATCTTATTTTTGAAAAACGCGTCATATTTTTCGCACATAATAACAACAAGTGATAATAATAAATGAATGAACGAAAACAAAACAGAAGAAAAGAAAAAAAAATGAAAACGAGTAAATAGAAGTTAACAAAAAAAATGTTTCCCGATGATTCAACTGCTCATAATAATGGAAGAAAAACATAAAAGACAAAATCTGTGTGACTGTGTTTGCTTGTATTTCATGACGACAAGAAAGAAAAAACCAAAAAAGAGAAACGAAAAAAACACACGCTTTTTTTTGCTCTATGAAGTAGTTGAATTTGTTGCAGCTTGTTTAGCAGCATACATTTGTTTAGCTTGATGAGCTTGAAGTACAGCAATAGCTTCTTCAACCTATTATAAAATAGAAAAAACAATGATGTTATTGAGTTCTTTTGTAATATTTTATAAAACATACTTTAGATTTAAGTGATTCACGTGATTCAAGCATATGAAGAAGTTCTGTATTATCAATTTCGAGAAGCATACCAGTTATTTTACCAGCTAACTCTGGTTGCATTTGTTGAATTAATGGAAATAAACGTTCACCTAACATTTGTTTTTGTTCTTGTGGTGTTGCATTAGCAAGACCAGCTGGTGTTAATGGTTCTTGGCCAGCAACAACTATTGAATTAGAAAATGCACCGGCATTCTATAATGAGAAAAATTATCCTTTTTTGCTTAGAAAAATCATATCAAAAACGAAATTTTACATTTGATGGTAGATTTCGTGCTGTACGTGTATAAGCTGTATTTTGTTGTTGTACACCGGTTTGAGGTCGAACAGCACCACCAGTCATCATTTGACCGGATGCTGGTGTTGGTCGTGTTCCCATCGGCATACCCGATCGTGTTGGTAAATTAGTCATTGCACCTGTTCGATGTTGTGTTGTAGCCATTGATGGTGGTATATGCATACCAGTAATCATTTGTGCACCTAGTTAAGAAATATTTTTCTTATGAGATAAGATCTTCA